ATCATGCAAATTTATACGAAAATTAATATTAAATCATGTTGGCATTGAAATTTTTCTAAAATGAGCAGGAAACCTACAAATTCATGGTTTTTGACTGGTTACTTTATTTTTTTTCCGGGAATGAAATAGAGAAAATTTAGACAGCGAAACTCAGGGACTGCACGAAGTTCATCCGTTTTGTAGTATCCAGTACATCGTCTCTGGAGGGTTTTGTTTATTGCCGGATGCGCTTCCACAGATTTTGCTTATAGCATTATTTAACAAAACAGAATTACAACCAATGCGCCATGTGAACTTCCTTTGTGAAGCAAGCTACGTTACAGATTTGTGCGACCATCAAGGGCACGTCTATCGTTTTCGTAAGGGAAATTTTCCATTATTAGTTTGCTAACAACACATCGATTTAGTTCCTTGCCAAATCCGCTGATGAGTCACGGACAAAGCGAGCCGATGTTAGTTCAAGTGGTCTAGTGAGTCGTGCAACAAGAGATGTACCGGAATGTTGCGGATGTGGCATATCACCGCCCGGACCACCTGGTCCACCAGGACCGGACGGTAAAGACGGGAAAGATGGTGAGCCAGGACCACCCGGAAAGGATGCCCCCGAAGTTGTCAGTGTTCCGGCACTTGCTGCCCCCCATGTTCGTCTTTTTTTTTTTTAATTTTTTTATATTTGTATGAGCGCTGCGTTTAAACACATTGCCTCAGCTTGCTTTCTTAGACAGCCATCAAAGAAAAAAACGTAGGAAAGCTTTGTTAGCGTGCGGATGAATCACTTTTTCGGAGCTTCTAAAAGTCTAGTGTTGTCATATACTATACCCATATATCATATATATACTATACCCTTAGTTTTACACGTGAATTTCTCATCAGTAACACCTCATCGTGTTACTGATGAGAAATTCACGTGTAAAACTAAGGGTATAGTATATATGATAACCTGCAAAACTTGCCATATTCAGTATATCGGCCAGACTAAACGAACCCTCCAGGAGCGTGCAAGAGAAAATAGGGCCAACTGTGTTAAGAAAACAAAAACAAAACTATACGTGGCCATGGTGTTCGTGAACGTAAGAAACGGGAAATTGATCATACTCTGATTGATAATATTTTCAACTCCGATGTCAGCACTCCCCTAGCAATTCAAGGCCTGTTACACAGGCTTACCAAATGTAATCATAAAACCCTTAGTGTTTTGCGAGATCGTATTGTCCTCAGTCCACCTTCCTTTCAAATTAACTGCATCCTTCAGGGTTTCCTACTTAGCCGTTTGCACACATCCACGTCACGACAGCGTCGGTCAGATCCTACATACTTTTGCATAAGTTATCCCGGAAGGGACTTCGAAGAACTCCACTTAAAATCAGTTTTCTACGACACAACTGCCCGACGCCTTCTCCCATGCCATCCATTTCCAAGGATTGTGGTTAGTTACAAATACAATCCACCGCTCGGGCGCCGAATTATCAACCACAGCAGATTCTTAGATGAGCTTAACACTGACACTCAGTGCCTACGTAAATGGCTCAATATACGCTGCAAT